ATCTTTTTTTAATTATATAATATAAAACGTGTGCTTGGCACTTATATTTGCTAAAGGACATGTGTACTTTGAATCTGATTTCAATTTATAATGTAGTCTTTTTTCAATTTTAAAAAATGTCCTTATTAAAATCAAATTGATATTTTTGTATATTTTTTTAATTTATAATTAATGAATTCAACTAATTTTCTAATTTCAATTCTTTTTCTCCTATCATTACTAGGTCCAATGTTGCTAATTGATTGAAGAGTAAATGTCATTGTTAGTAATAAATTAACAATTAGCATTGATTATTTAATTGAAATTCAAGATCATTTAATAAGTGGTAGAATTTTTCAACTTTTGATTTAGCAATTTTATCATCTAATATTCTACTCCCAATGTATGTGATTTGATTATTATCAACATCACCATTACTAAAATGGTCTTTTTAATAAATTCGCATCCTAACGCTTTCGGCATAATCATCATAATCGTCAGGAATTTCTGGTACTATTTGACGATAATGGCCTTAAACCCTCGCAGATTTTTAACATTAAATGAAAATTATGTATTATATCGTCAGATGATGAACATCTTGCAAATATTTCCCACACGAATATTCCCAATGCAACATAACGTGATTCCGTAGAGATTTATCAGTAACTGATCTATTTAATCCTATATAGATCAATCTATTGAAACGATTCCGATGAAATTATACGACCAGCAAGAAAGAAACATACAAATGACCGTATATACGAAATAGTTTATTAGATCATTAATATCAAAAAAAATCCTTCGCTATTTCGGAAAAAGCGATAAATCCAATCCACGACCTAAGTGTTAAGTCTCCCGGGGGAAATGGCTTGCTTTTTTTTAGAACGTTTCTCTTCACCTATTTATTTGCAATAGTAATCTTTTAAAATCCCTCTTGTTCAAAACTTATCTCCATTTTCTTCCGAGGAAGCTTATAAGGATTATATTGCAATAGTTCAAGCAGTGTTGGCATTTGGCCAAATTGGCCAAGATCAACAGCCAAAGTAAACGGCCAATAGGCAAAATATTGTCACACACATTTTTTTTATTCGCATGTTTGCTCTTACTCATATCGAAGAATTAAAAAATGCCCCATAAATATATTAGTTATATCCAACTTTTATCTGAACAAGTAGATAAATGTGATAAATGGTGAAAATATTGTATATGTGCATCTGGCAAAGAGAGGTTATAATGTAGCTTTATTAGACAAGTTTCCTGTGCATAAATCATGTGATTTAAAAATATTTTATATTTTCATATATCTACAATTTTATAAAATGTAATTTCTTGATTATCAACAAAAATATTTTTTATTTGCCATTTTTCTGTATTGTCTAATGCAGGATGTGTTTGTTTCAATAATAAATCATCCATCTCATCATCATTATCAATTGTAGAAGTAAATCTGTCTCTTCCTCTTGAAACAACAAATTTCCCTATTCACTAATTAGTCTACATAATTAATATATTTGTGAGGCATTCTTTAATGCTTTAATATGTAGAAGAGCAAACAACATAAGAAATGCTTAATAATAATAAAAAGGAAGGAATAATTTTTTAAAAAATTTAATGTAACAATATTTTGGCCACTAATTTTTTTTATTTTTGTTAATCTATAATTTTTTTAAAATCACATTATTTATTTGGCCAAATGCCAACACCGAGTTATGCCTTGATGTGTTACTTTTTTCCTTAAATTTTTGATATCTGAATCCTTGCCTACCTGGTGATACCAAGGCACAATTTTTTTATAATACAGTATATATCTTTCTGTATTAATTATGCCTTGGCATCTTTTTTCATCTTTGCTGATACCTAAATCTTACTTACTCAGGGCATCACTTTTTTTGGTATGATATTGTATACTTTGGGATAACACTATATCAAAAACTTCGGGTATTGCCATTACCATATACTTTAGGATATCACTACAGAGAACATGGATCAAAAACCTTGGGATTACACTATATTGAAACTTTGGGATTACACCGTATCAAAAACTTTGGGATAACACTATACCATATACTTTAGGATATTGCGACAATGTACATGGATCGAAACTTTGGGATAACACCATATTGAAAACTTTGGGATGGCACCAGATCAAAATTTTGGGATGCACTAAGTGCACTTCAAAAGTAACACCATTTTAAAAAATGAGATAACACCATATACCGAAAATTTTGTCTGTATTACCACATACTCACTTATCTGAAATTTCAATCAGATTTGTGAATCACAAAAATCCCTTTGTATAAATATAACCAGTGTTGCTTGACCCTGGTCCAATTGGACATTAATCGTCAGTTTTTTTACATATTTTTTTAAAATGCCACCTATAAAACATTCTCACCGAATATATATCACAGTATTAAATGAAAAGGCCAATAAATCTAATCATTATGTACTTTGTCATTTTTGTAAAGCTAAATCAACAAGTACTAAAAATTGGTAACTTCTCACTTAAAAATTGTACAATATTCAAGGAACAACATACTGAACATGAACAAGATTCTTT